ACTCCCTCCCCCCACCACTCCTCCCCGTCCCCCAACCAAGCGACTCCGACCCTATGAGGGCCGTTTTTGAGAAGGCGGGGCCTGAAGCTGATTGAGGGAGGTTCCCGCTACCTCCCGCTATGGAGTCTACATTCAGCAGCCCCGCGGAGGCGGCGCTGCAGCTAGAGGCGGGCGCTGCCGGGCTGCGCACTCCTCTTGGGGACCTGGACCGAGTGTATGAGCTGGAGCGAGTCGTTGGATTTGTCCGCGACCTGACGTGTCAACGGGTGAGGAGCGGATGGGTCGCCCAGAGGATCGGGATCTTGGGTGATTTTGTGAGGATGGGAATGAGGGGAGATGCTTCTCTGGGAGGAGGGGCTTTGAAGGTTAGGTAGGGACTCCCGGGAAGGTTTCTCTTGAAGAGGAGAGGCTGTTCCTGACTCCATGGTTTATGCTTACAGGTGGCCTTGCAGTTCCCTGATCAGCTACTGGGAGATGCTGGGGCCGTGGCTGCACGACTGGAGGAGGCCACAGGGTCGAAGGTGTTCATTCTGGGAGACACAGCCTATGGCAGGTGTGAACTTGGAGCTTGCCGATAGAGGGTGGGGTAGGTCTAGGGATCCAGGACTCATGGCATTTCCCCTCTATGACAGTGTCTGACCCCGATGGTTGTATTTCTCAATGATGGTGACGTTTCATCTCCTGATACTAGCTCTTCTCAGTGACGGTGTCTTCTTTTCATAATGTCATATTCTTCACTGACGACATTTTCCATTGATGACGGCAACGCTTTTCTCGAGAACCCCTCTCACTAATGGTATCTCCTCTGCAGCTGCTGTGTGGATGTACTGGGTGCTGAGCAAGCTGGAGCTCAGGCCCTTGTACATTTTGGCCCTGCCTGCTTAAGCCCTCCTGCCCGCCCACTGCCCACTGCCTTCGTCCTTGGTCAGCGATCTGTGGCCTTGGAGCTCTGCGCCAAGGCCTTCGAGGCCCAGAACCCAGACCCCACAGCGCCTGTGGTGCTGCTGAGTGAGCTGGCCTGTGCCCACGCCCTGGGTGAGGGTTTTGCCTTTGCATGCAGGAAGGGTGAGCCGACCAGTTTGTGCCTTAATTTCCCATGTCAGTACACTCCCATGGAGTTCTTAATATGGGTTTGACCCCAGCCTCTGCTTTTGGTTCCCATTCAGTCTCCTGGGGATAAGGGGGATCCTGCTTTACCAGACCCCAACCCTGACACCACCTCCTTCTTCCAGAGGCCTTGGCCACCCTTCTGCGTCCACGGTACCTGGACCTGCTTGTCTCCAGCCCAGCTCTTCCCCTGCCAGTGGGTTCCCTCAATCCAGATCCTGAGCCCATGGAGCGTTTTGGGCGCCGCTTCCCCCTGGCTCCAGGGAGGTGTTTGGAAGAGTATGGTGCCTTCTATGTGGGGGGCTCTGAGGCCATCTCTGACCCTGACCTTGACCCAGACCTGAGCCGGCTGCTCTTGGGCTGGGCACCAGGGCGGCCCTTCTCCTCCTGCTGCCCAGACACAGGGCGGACTCAGGATGAAGGTGCCCGGGCTTGGCGGCTAAGAGCACGTAGACGCTATCTGGTAGAGAGGGCCAGAGATGCCCGTGTGGTGGGGCTGCTGGCAGGCACGTTGGGTGTGGCCCGACACCGTGAGGCACTGGCACACTTGCGGAACCTGACACAGGCTGCTGGCAAGCGTAGCTATGTGTTGGCCCTGGGGCGACCCACGCCTGCCAAGCTTGCCAACTTCCCTGAGGTGGATGTCTTTGTGCTGTTGGCCTGTCCTCTGGGTGCCCTAGCCACCCAGCTTTCTGGCAGCTTCTTCCGGCCTGTATTGGCACCGTGTGAGCTGGAGGCTGCCTGCAACCCTGCATGGCCACCTCCAGGCCTGGCTCCCCACCTCACACATTACGCGGACTTACTGCCTGGTGAGTGGTGGGGGCACTGCCTAGGCTAAAAACGCTTGGGGCGTAGAGTTGGGGGGCCAGTATGGATCCGCTTTCTCCCTCCCTCCCTTCCAGGCTCTCCCTTCCATGTGCCCCTCCCTCCACCTGATTCGGAGCTGTGGGACACCCCAGATGTGTCACTCATTACTGGGGACCTCCGACCCCCACCTGCCTGGAAGCCATCAGCTGATCCTGGATGCTCAGCCCTAACCCCGAGGCCTCAGCTGGAGCTGGCTGAGAGCAGCCCTGCAGGTGAGTGTGGCAAATCTCCACTCCCATCTGAATTCTTCCCCTCTGTTCAGGCCACTCAGCCTCAACCCCCTCCCTCTGCAGCCTCATTCCTTAGTTCCCGGAGCTGGCAGGGACTGCAACCCTGCCTGGGTCAGACGCCGGTGACAGCAGCTGTGAGTGGAAGACGAGGGATTGCCATCGCCTACGAGGATGAGGGAAGCAGCTGATACCATGTGGGGCCAGAGCCACAGGTGGACTTAAGACCTTTAGTGCTCCCTGCACCAACCCCACTCTTCTGCCAGGATCCTTGAAGGAGCCTCTCACTGAGGCAGCCCCTCACTGGGGATAGGATTCAGCTCTTCCTGTCCTGTCCTGGCGCTGGCACAAGGCTTAGCACAAATTGGCTTAGTAAATATCTGTTGTTTGACTGATGCGGAAACAGCTTTGGGTCTTCCCTGAAGCCTTCTGGGCCATCTGTTCTCCTGGGAACAACAGCACAAGACAGTTGAGGGTCTGCCTTTGTTAAAGGCAGGTGCTAAATGGTTTAGACCATGGTTTCTCAATCTTGGCACTATTGACACTTTGGGCCAGATAATTATTTGTTGTGAGGGGCTGTCCTGGGCATTGTAGGATATTTAGCATCATCTCTGGTTTCTGCCCAGTAGGTTCCGATAGCACACCCCTCCCCAGTTGTGATGACCAGAAATGTCTCCAGATGTTGGCAACTGTCCCTATGGGGGCAAAAGCATCCCCAGTTGAGAACCACCGGTCTGCACCTATGCTGTCCAATACAGTAGCCACATGTGGCTGTTCAAACATAAATTTGAATTAAGTAAGATTAAAAACTCAGTTTCTCAATCACACTAATCACATTTCAGTGCTCAGATAGCCACATGAGAGGACAGCGCAGCTGTAAGACATTTCCATCATTGCAAAACGTTCTGTGGGGCAGTGCTGGTCTACACTGACTTCAATTAGTTTCTCAGGAAGATCACAGAAATTTGAATAAACCAGATAATTTTTCTCCTTGTTTCTTTTTATTCATCAAATACCGCAGGTCCTGCACAGGTCCTGTGGGTTGAGATCTGAATTGTATTTGACTGGATTCCTGTCCTCACAGTGTGGCTGGGAAGAGAGGCAGTTAAACAGGCAATTGCCACATGGTGAAGCAATATTCTTTATGAGTAGGGAAGCCCCCAGGGGCAGCCGGAGCCCAGAAGAGGCTTCTCAGAGGGGCTGTTACCTAAGCTGGATCGCTTGGAGGGGAAAAAAAAAATAATCAGAAGTGAGGTGAAAAAGACATTTGGGCAAACGGTACACCATGCTAAAACAGGCGTAAACCAGCATTGTGGGTGCTTCAAGCAAAGTGGAGTTGCTGGACCCTAAAGGTTCAGAGGGGTGAAATGAAATGACTCACCTCTTAATTCCCCACATTTGCCGAGAATCTCGGCATATTGGCGTTGTCCAGCATGTTGACGAAGCAGGTGAACAGGGAGATGTGATTTCTGCCCTCAGGGATTGCCCAGTCTGCTAGTAGAGGCAGTTCTGTAAACCGACCGTGGTAACTGGGACAAGGTGGGCACCAATCATGTATTCTACAGATATGTATTGAGCACCCACTGTGTGCCAGGCACTGGAAATCCAGCAGTGAGCTCAGGAATCCTTTCATGGTGCTTACATTCTCGTGGTGGGGGCGATAGACACAGAACACTTAGTATGCAGAATGGTGATAAGGGCTATGGTAAAGCTGGGAAGGAGTGCAAGAGAAGGGGCTGCAATATTAAACAGGATCGCCAGAGAAGGCCTTTTGAAGGTGAGCGAAGACCGAAAGAAGTTAGGAATGAACCACGCGGATAATTTGGAGAAGCAGAGGGAACAAGTGCAAGTGCAACGCGTTGAGGGTCTGACCGGTGTGTTCAAGGAACAGCCAGGAGGCCAGTGCAGTGGGAGGAGGGAGTTAGTGGGGAAGTATTAGGAGATGAAGTCGGGTAAGAGGCATGGGGAGCCGCAAGAGTAGAGGCCTAGTAGGCCATTTTAAGGACTATGGCTTTTATTCCGAGGGAAATGGGGGCCCCCGAGGTATTTCAAAGAGAGTGACATGATCCTGCTTAAGTTTCATAAGGATCGCCAGGGCGGCGGGGGAGCCCAGAGCGGGCGCACTCCCCTGCCTCTGGCTAGGGAACCCTTCCTGGGGGAATGGTATCCCAAGACCAGTAGGTGTTGGCTGGGCCATGGGGTGAGCACGAAGAAGCGTGCTTCAGGCAGAGGAAACAGCATGAGCTCAGTGAGGGACGGAGCGGACACCCTCGCGGAACTGGGTGGGACGGTCGTGGGGAGGACTGCGAGATCAGCACTGGCTTGGAGACTAAGCTAGGGCGGCGGCAAGCAGGAAAGCAGGGCTGGTGGCCGGAGCAGGACGGAGTGTCGGGGCGCAGCAGGAGCGAGCTTGGTCAGACGCGAGACTGACCGGCCAGGCAAGGAGTCGAGGTGCTCAGTAAGAAGGGCATCCGAGGCCCTTAGGGGTGCGAGACTACAACCACCACAATCCTCTGCGTCCGCACTTCCGGCATCACCAAGTTCTAGACCGGCGGCGCCGGGGCGCCAGGCCCGGCGTGTGGTCACGTGGCGCCGGCGCGTCACCTGGGCGAGTCAGGTGACCCTGCGGGGCGGACGGCGGACCCCGGGACGAGGTTTACGCTCCGGCCCCCCACCCCGTCCCCGACCTGAGACCCGCCGTCGTTGCCGCCATGACTGGGCTAGTGCTGCTCTACTCCGGGGTCTTCGTGGCCTTCTGGGCCTGCCTGCTCGTCGTGGGTGAGGCCGGGCCCTGGTGGGAGGGGCCAGCATCGGGCCGAGCTAGCCCGGCTGGAGCCCAGCGGGGAAGCGGAGGCTTGGGAATACTGGGCTCCGGCGCGGGCTTTGCACCCTGGGCTCCTGGACTTGCCTCGCGTCTGCCCGGGCGTCTGACCCCGACAGAGGAGACCCGTATCTCCAGCTGCTTGGGGAGGGGTGCGGGCGGGCCTCGCTGGGGACCGCGAGCGCAGCCCTTGTCCGTTTCTGTCACTGCCGCCCCCTTCGCGCGCTCCCTGCTGTCGTCCCTCTCTTTCTCTTGACCGGCCTGCTTGGGTCACGAGCCGGCTGCTCCAGTTCCTCTTTTCCCCGTAGTCTTGCTCTCCCCCCACACCCACAGCGTGTTGGGTAAACAGCGGCTCGGACTGGGCTGGCTGCATCTGGTGGGGCCTGGCCAGAGCTCTTGCTCCCTCCCCTCCTCCAGGGTATTCAGGCCTGCCGGTGGCTCCTCTTGACGGGTCTGGGTCTGGGAGTTAGTGTCACAGAGGGGATATGTTCCTGGAGGAGTGGCAGAAAATGGAGGTCTGAGTAGAGGAATTTGTATAGGCAGCTGTGCTTTTACGTGGGGCCAGCCAGAGGACTCTCCCTTGACTTAGGTGTAGGCAGAACTTTTGGGAAGGTGGCCCATCAGCTGGGCAGTAACTTCTTGCCTAAGTTGTGGCGCTTCTCTCTAGAGAGCAGTCCCTAACCCCCGTTTTTCTCACTGCTGCAGGAATCTGCTACACCATTTTTGACTTGGGCTTCCGCTTTGATGTGGCATGGTAAGGGAGAGGTTTCCCCTAAGGAGCTTCTTTGCAGCCTGCCCTCTCTGATCTGATCCCTACCCCATCCCACCCCCCAGCTGTCTGGGATGGGGACCTTTGGGAAACATGAAGTGTTTTGTCTCAGCATCGAGGACTGGGGGTGTTGGAGGGGGGGTGGGGGTGGATTTTGTGCCCACTTCTGCACCACGACTGAATTGTCTTTCCCCCGTCTACACACCAGGTTCCTGACAGAGACTTCCCCCTTCATGTGGTCAAACCTGGGCATTGGCCTAGCTATCTCTCTGTCTGTGGTTGGGGCAGCATGGTAAGTGTTGGGGTCACGGGTCAGGGGAGGGGCTGAATCATAGCAAGTGGTGTCACTGGGTTCTTAGTCATCTTGGGGGCAATGACAGGATTGGGCTCTGCTCATTGGTTTCTTATCCGTCCACCAGGGGCATCTATATCACTGGCTCTTCCATCATTGGGGGAGGGGTGAAGGCCCCCAGGATTAAGACCAAGAATCTGGTCAGGTAAGTGTAGGACCCTTGTAAGGTTGTCAGAATCAGTTGCATTGGTAGCTGCCTGTGCGTTTGACCTGCCTGATGTGCTGCTCCTGACAAGCCTCCTGTTGGGGTCGGATGTCAGTGGGGGAGAGGTGGCTGGAGACTCTTCAGGGAGGAAAGTTGGTTTCTTTCTCAACTCTTTCTCCTCTCCACCCCCTAATCCCCTGCTACCACTACCAGCATCATCTTCTGTGAGGCTGTGGCCATCTATGGCATCATCATGGCGATTGTCATTAGCAACATGGCTGAGGTATGGAGGACTAGGTGGGGTGGGCATGTATTCCAGTGTGTTTATATATTGCTTAGTGATGGTGGAGGAGGGGGAGTGGAGTAGGGGGTGATTTCTGATAATTTCTCTGCTTCCCTCAGCCTTTCAGTGCTACTGACCCCAAGGCCATTGGCCATCGAAACTACCATGCAGGTAGGTGGGTATAGTGAAGGCAAAAAGTTGGGGCTTCACAGCTGCTTCCCCCTCCAGTGCGCACCCCAGCTTAGATTCTTCATTTTGATATTCTCTCACCTACTTTGGGCTGCTTTGTAGAGTTGGGGTGGTGGCTGGCCCCATTAGTCCATGTTGAATCCCTTGCCCTCATCTCTCCTTGTGTCTGGCTTGGCCTCAGTGTTCCCCTTCCATCCCTCCAGGTTACTCCATGTTTGGGGCTGGCCTCACAGTGGGCCTGTCTAACCTCTTCTGTGGAGTGTGCGTGGGCATCGTGGGCAGTGGCGCCGCCTTGGCTGATGCACAGAACCCCAGCCTCTTTGTAAAGATTCTCATTGTGGAGATCTTTGGCAGTGCCATCGGCCTCTTTGGGGTCATCGTTGCGATCCTTCAGGTGCTGAATCCCCCTGGGAAGCCTCTATCCTTGTCCCCAACCCAGTCTCACCCTTCTTCTGGAGGAGCCACAGTGCTCCTGTCTACACCTGTAACCATAAGAACCTCTTAAACAGTTTCCACCACCTAGTTCCCATCTTTGGGTTTTCCCCTTTTGAAGTTCTCCAGTTATTTCTGTCTTCAATGTGGTATCACTGACAACTGTCTTTTTTTGTCTGTTGTGTCTATATACAAAAGATTTAGCTTCTCTTCCCTGTTCTGTTATTTTGTCTCTTCCTCGCTGTCTTTGTAGTCTAGACCAGGTTGGGATGCGTCTGTCTCAGTCCGTCTTGGTGTGTTTGACTGTGATGTCGGTAGGACAGCACATTTGAGGTGTGTGTGATTAAGGATCAGCCTGAGTGTCTGAGTGTGACTGTGGGCGCCTGACTGGGTTGACTTGGTGACTGGCACTGTCCATATGCCACTTCTCTCTGTCTTGTCTGTCCCACAGTTGAACTCTGTAGTTGTCTCTGTGTCCCTGTTCACTGTGTTTGTCACAACATGTCCATCCTGGTCCAGTCATCCATCTGTTGTGGTCTGTCCATCCTGCCATGGGTCTGATCATCTGTCATTTGTCATTGTCTAATCTGTTTCTCTGTCCCTGACTGATTTCTCCTGTTCTTCTTTTGCAGACCTCCAGAGTGAAGATGGGTGATTAGACGATCTGTGTGGGTGGGGCCGTGCCCCACTCTTATTTATTTGTGGTTTTCCTGGGACAGCTGGAGCTGTGCCCCTTAGGCTTTCAGGGGGCTTGGGGTTCAGGGCCCTCCCTGCACTCACTTCTGCTGCCTGTCGACTTGGAGGCACTGCCTGGCTGGATCCGCAGTGTGGGGAGTGGGCTGCTGTTGACTGTGTGTAGCTTGGCACCCGTGTCCCACCTCCACCTCCAACCCATCTTCCCAGTGTTTGTGAAATAAACATGGTATTTGTCTGGGTCAGTGCTGCTTCTCTTGCCTTTCTTCGCCACCTCCTTTCACAGAGGAAGGGTAAACAGGCCTGTAGTTGTCAACTTCATGCCAACTTCTTGCCAACTTTCCGACTCATATACACTGTCTCTGCTGTGGACATCGATGGCTCCTGGGTTGGAAGGGAAGTGTGCTGGGCTGAGGACTCTAGCTCTGAACATCTTTATTGAAGGGAAGGGGGAGTCTAGGTATATGGGCCCATGTGTTTGTGTGGGGAAGGGAGGTGTCCTAGTCCCATCCCCTCAGGGCTCTGGTCAGCCCAGCCCCAGTTAGCCACATCTGCTTACCTGGCTCTACCCTCAGGCATCCATCATCTCTACCCCTGGGGCCTTGGAACCCATTCATTTATTTGCCTCTGCCCGTTCAGGCACCATACCCTGCCAGTAACTAGTTTGATCCCTTGGGGCCATGTCCAGTTCCTCCCACTCCTGTCCAACCTCCTGTTCCCTAGAAGCCCCTGCCACACACTTCTGTCTACGCCTTTCAGTGTCCTGCCCAGTTTTAACTAGCAGCCCCCTCCTCTGGCGGACCCTTAGTCATGCTCCCATGGATGAGCTGACAAATCCCTGACCTCCCTGCACGAGTTGGCCTAACTTCCAGGTGCCCTTCTTTGGCTGAGTTTGCGCTCCAACCCAGACCAGACCCCATTCCTCCGTAATGGGTTTTACCCATCCACACCCTCTCCGGTTCGGACCTCGACTCCATCCCGTTGGATGAGTCTGATTAATTTCTCCCGCCCCTCCCTGGTCCTCCGTCCCCTCGCTCCGTCGCGCATAGCCGCCGGCAGGGGCGGGCGTCGGAGACGCGCGGCGGGTACGGGCGCGCTGGAGGCGGGGGGCTGCG